CATCATGAAACTTAGAAGAGAATTTCAGATATTTCCTAGGAAATAATGTGCCTAAACAAGGTACTGGTCATGTCGTCCTCAACTGAGGAATGACTCTGGGGGCTGGAAAAAACCTGCTTTAAATTAGGCACAAGTACTTCTCTGGACTGCATCTTCAGTAAATTTTGAACCAGATATTTGCAGAGTAATAATTAGGTTTTGATTTTCTTTCCCACTGGAATCATTGTGTTAATGTGCATCAGTTTATCTGTAGTCCATAGTTTTCCTTTCAAAAGACAGGGCAATTTCCTAAGATTAAAATAAAGAGCGATAAGGGGAGAAATCCTGTGTTCAAAATACATATTTGAGTGGTAAATTCACTCCAGGGTTTACATCCAGGGCCAGGAGCTCAAAAGCACCTGTGGGACTTGCTGATATCTGAGTTTCCACTTCTGGATGTTATGGCTTGGGGAATGAGGTCAATAGAGTGAAGGATGCTGAAGACGCCACATGCTCCCTGTGCCTGTTTCAGAAGTTCCAATGTCTGGCAATCCTTGTTGTGTTTTTTCYCCCATTTTGATCTATTTTCCCCATATATTTTATATATATAATTTCCCAATATTTGTCATTGTGACAGATATCTCCTGTCCTTTTGCTGTGCAGCTCTTACCATGCTCTCTGTGGGCACCAGTGGTTGCACCTCCCTTGATCTCCTTTCTGCTGGGCTGGACCAAGCCCAACGCATTCAGCCTTTCCATTTGCAGCTCCGTTACTTGGTGGAAACCACTTAGCCCCTGTGAGGGTATCCGGAAAGAGAGATTTTGACACAACCATCTGTTCCAAAGAAAAATTAGAACGAATGTGGCACCGCTTTAAAAAGTAAAGAAATGGAGACATGAATAGCAGGGTACATAAAATAAAAGGTGAAAAAAGAAATTGCAAAACTGCCTTCTTGAGCCTAAATGGTGTGTCCTATTATAACATTTTAAATTATTTGCCATTTTTTGGAGCTATGTTACCTGAAATCTCTATTACCTGAATATGGAAATCTATGTTACCTGAAATCTATGTTAGCTGAATATTGGGCTTATGGTTTTGTGCTATCTGCAATGGTTTTCACGTCAAAAATCACAGTATGTGCAACTCACTTCAGGTTTATTTTTAAAATAAATATTAGACTTTGGGGAGGTCTAGCTTCAACAGCCAAGGCTGGAGGAACACTTCGGGTTTAAAAATACGTTCGCTCTTTAACAGTGTCTAGACTTTCATCGGCTTCCCAGTGAAACGTGAAGGAGGGTTAGAGAATTAAGAGTCGCTGATAGTTTTGAAGAAAAATCTCTTTTACTCTCATATGGCTGCATGCCTTTGCCAAAGCCTTGGACAGTTCTTGCTCCTCTTGTAGGAAGTCCTRTTGAAAGTCCTTCCTTTTCAGCATTGAGTTCTTCTGTTTTGTCCATCCAACTTACCATGAATTAATGTATTATTCTGTCCTCCAAGTAGGTGTGAGGTTGCTGCTGCTTTTTCTGGGCTAAATCGGTAGTCCTCGTTTAGCAAAGCATTGATAGTCCTTGCTTCTCTTCAGGGGACATCCCCGTCTCCATGAGCTTGCTAAAGGTAAAACAGCTGAAGACAAATGCCTCTTATTCAAAGGAAAAAGATCCTGGGGTTTGTTCCAGGAAAGTTTAAGCACTTTTTGTTGCTTGGGTTTTGTTTTTCCYTCCAGCAGAAGTGGTAGACGTGTCTGAACCCCTCTGGTGCCCTGCGGGTATGGACCTCCGATGGCGCTGAGCTCCTTCCCTTCTGACTCTACCTCCTGCAAGCATCAACGTGCCCAACTCTCCCATTCAATAATTCACATTTTTTCAACAAAAAAAAAAAAAAAAAGAATGTTTTTCTAGCTTTGTTTTGTCCTCAACCAGGCTTTAAAGAAAAACAAAGCACCCAAATAATCCTTTGCTCACCCCTATCAGGAGCAAGGGCAGTGCCGACTAGAATTTGTGGCTTTGTGGACTGTCTAAATGACTGGTTTAAGGACCGTCAGGAGAAGATTGAGCTGGAAATGATGATTGACCACAAAATCCACCGTATGTGCTGGCAAGTTGGCTGCTGGAAAGAATCTGTGATCGGCACAGGTTTTAATTTAAAATTATGGAGATATTTCTTAAATATATGCATGTCATGATTAATATGCGAATTATTTTTCTGGTACAGTGACATGCTTAGAAGGCTGTAGCTGAAGGAATTAGTCATAAATGTTTAGCTGGTGGAGACTGAGGGATGCAGCGAAGTTTAGTGTTTAAATGAAGGCAGTTTAATGACTTCCAACTCAGAATCTGTGCAAAAATCTAATAAAAAAAGTAGTGTTAGCAGAGCGGCGGAACAGCTAATTCTGAAGGTGGGACCCAGTCTCAGTGCTGCTGTGATGAGGTTCCCACATGCCATTAGTCAAAGCGAACAGAAGTGGAATGTCTCCTGTATTGATTTAATGTTGCTGAGAGGGATTTTTACCATTACGACCCTTGGTAAAACCTGCTCTGTATTTGCAAGCCCTTGTTAGCCTGATGGAGGAATCCATCCGAGGTTGTTAGAGAGCCTGGTGCTCCCCTGGGATGGAGAGCATCAACTCTGCGGCAAGGAGAACTCGAATTAAAGAAGGTGGAAAGAGAAGATCCGTGAGACTGTGCCTAGAAAAGTGCTTTTTGATGCATTTTTGGACTTCAGTTTTGCCAGTCCTGGGTTGGCACAAAACTAGTTGTGGCTCTCCTTGAGTCACTGGGATAATAGGCAGGTGAACAGGCCAAATTTTACAAGAAATCATAATTCATTCCCTTACTAGCAAAGATGCTCATTGGAGGCTGGGGTTCATTTTTGCCCTTACAGTCCTAATACCAATGATAATTTAATTTTGGAATATCATAGCCTAAATTTTGTGTTGCTATAATTACATGTTCAGCTTTAACTAGTGACGGGAGTGGGTGAGAAAGGAATATTGAGAAAACCATTAGGTTTTAGAAAATATACGTTTATTTCTGCCATAGTGCATACAGTTTTACAAAATTTACTTTGTGTAGAAAGTGTTTTGCTGAAGGACTCAGTTTGCTTGAGAAGCTGATCGTTTGAAGCAGGAAAATGAGCTCTGGAGTCTGTCTTGGGCCTTRCTGGTAAAAGGATTTTTCTGCTGAGGTTAATTTAGTTCAAGGCAGATTTTTTGGTAACACTTATAATTCTGGCAGCCAATATTTTGCAGTGCTTTAGTAGCCAAATAACCTACAGTTTACAGTTTTTAAAACTGAAACTGAGGCGTAAACGTTCTGCCAAATGAAATTTAACTCTATGCTACCTATTATTTCAAATTGCTATTTTGAGGTAGCGTCATCCATGGAAGAAAATATTACTGCTCTTACGTTTGCAAAATACAAGCTAGAAAGCAACCTTTCAGGCCACTTCAAACATCATCCCTAAATAGTTTCATTTGCAAATTTAAAGCAAAATTTCAATTCCGCAAAAATATTGTAGAAATATTTTAAAACTTTTGGGTGAGACTTTTTAAAATTCTTATTATTTTTTATCTTGAGCATTCGAGTGGGATAAATAATTGGCCCAGTGACTGTTTCCCAATTCATCTGCAGCTGCAAAATTATTTTCTGTGCACATAGTGTAAAACTTCCTAAATATGAGGTTTAGAGATCCTTTGGGAGTAATTAACTATAATGTAGAAGCAAATCTGGGTTCATTGTACACAGTGCTCATTTAAGAAATGTTTTTCTGCACAAAGCCCATTAGCAAGTTTCCAAAACCTCCATGAATGTTAAACATTTTATTATCGGACCTATTTTACATAAAATTGAATGTAATTCCATAAATTACATTTAGCTTTTGATCCCTGAACAGCAAATTGCTGAGTCACATGTCTGCTTAAAAATGTATCCCAGTGCTAAAATCTTGCTTTAAATATACACGTATATATTTGTATACGTGTGTGTAGATAGTGGTGATATAACAACTTTATTTCTATACAGAAAATTGAGAAGGATTTGCGTGAAACAAATTGCCTACTATTTTATTCCGCTTGTTGGTCTTGTTCCATGCACCATGTATTTTGTTGTGATACTTGTGGTTATCTTAAGTGCTTTCCTTTTTTTGTACTTTAATTCCTGCATCCTGCAGAGTTTTCCCTTTTCCTAGGACACTGGTTCTGATCTGGTGRAAAGGGCTGGAAAACTTCTGGTTTTATGTGTTCATCTACAGCAATGGCAATCAGAAATAGCCCTGAAGAAGCACAAATCCTGCAAGCTGCTTGGAGGGAACGTGGGCTGCAGCCCACGCGTGGGACCCAGCAGCTGGTCCTGGTGCTCCCGGGACGGAGGTGGTGGGATGGGAAAGAGTGGAGAAGGGYAGGAGCTCAGCTCCTTCCATGCTCCTCTTTTCTCTTCCACACTTTCCCATCGCATTTTTAGCGRGGTTGACAGCAACACATCGAATCAACCCCCTAGCACATAGTGGATTTTATATCCCAGGCATTTCCCACTGTAAAACCCAACTCTCTTACAGGGAGAGAATTAAACATTAATATCAGAGAGTCTTTTAGGGCTTCATCTCCAAGCATGGGAAATTCAGCCCAGCCCTGCCATCCACGGGGATGGTTTCTGCTAGCTGCTTTGGCTGGAATTTCACACAGTTACTATTTTACATGGAGCTGGAGTATCTGTGAAGTGGCTATCAATTGAGACGTATTTAGCTCGTATTTAGCTCTCCAGACTTGCTTTTGCAGGTTGCACAAAACATTTAATTAGGGATAATCAGCTTTTAGCCAGCCAGAGCACACTGGTGCGATTCTCCCTGTTCTCCCTGCTCGTAACTGTAGGCATCGTCTGCGCCCATAAGATAAATCCATCGCAGTCAGGAGAAGGTCCTAATCAGCAGGAAGGGGGAAACTAAGGAGGCTGCTTGCATGGGGATGAGGAGTGTCTGGGGTATGCTGTGATTGCAGTGAAAAATACACTTTTTGCTTTCCTTTTCAGGATGTTGGACCTGGAAAGCCGCCGGAGGTTGCAGCGTGTCCTTCTCCTCGACGTTGCTGCTCGGCGCTCTCCTTCCACGGAGCGAGAGGGAACTAGGCGAGCTCTGCGCTGACTTTGGGAAGGTTTGGTCCACGATGGGAGGTCTAAAGATTTCCTGGCTCTGGTTTTGTGAAGCTGGGCATCTGCCTTGGACCTGCCCTTTGGCAAAGGGGTCATCGCTGAGGCACGGTTAAGAGCTGGGAGAACTGGTCCCAGACCATGAGCGCTCTAAGTGGCGCTGGAATATTGGTCAGCTTAACGACAGTGTCCGTTACGCTGGATTTTAGCTTGCATGGTGGTCTCATGGCTTGGTCCTTAAGCAGCAATTTGACTCTGAATCAGAGTTTGCCAACGTCTGATCCTCTTAACGCCTCCGACAAGGGGGATGTCTCTCGGATGTCAGTGAGGGAGAAGAACTGGCCAGCCCTCTTGATCCTGGTTATCATCCTGCTCACCATCGGGGGCAACATACTGGTAATTATGGCCGTGTCCTTGGAGAAGAAGTTGCAGAACGCCACAAACTTCTTCCTGATGTCTTTGGCGGTGGCAGACATGCTGGTGGGTATCCTGGTCATGCCCGTGTCCCTCATTGCAGTCCTGTACGGTAAGTGGCTTCTCTGCTTATCCCGCTGTGCACCCCGGGAGCTCCTCTCCATGCCATGAATAACCTGCAGATGTGTCTGGTGATGGTCTTAGTACTGAGACCACCCTGGGAACCCACAGCAGGGAGTTAGCTGGGTTGAATGGGCCCCAAACGAGCTGGGATGGAGAAGCTGAGGGAGAAGTTGAGCAGCGTGCTTGCAAGTGGGCCCCTCTCCAAGGTTGGATCAGCCCTATAAACTCCCATCCATATCAGCTTAATCCAGAAGGGAGGTTGTGCTGGTAGGCTGTGTGCTCAAATGAAAATCATGGGCCTTCTTATTGCCTAGGCTCACCTAATGTCTTTAAGTCATGTCAGCTCTCTGTGCCTCAGTTTCCCTATGTCAAAACCAAGAAGGATGCGCCCATTTCCCAGCCCTTGGGGCTTCATGTGTTTGGGATGAGGGTTCCTCCCTGCGACCCTGTCCCACTGGCTCTCACCCATCTGTGGGTGACGTGCAGCATGCTTCACTCATGGTGACAAGTTCATAGAGCCCCCGATAAGGGCCCTGGGCAGAGCTGCTGTTAGTGCTTCAGAGGAGAGCAGCGTCGCACACATCTCCTTCGTGTCTCTGGTTTCTCAGAGAAATCTTCTTGGTGCTTGGACCCAACATCCGYGGTCTGGCATCCATGTCCCCTCCGCCAGGTCTTTGCACGTGACACCATGGGCACGCTTCATGTGAAACCTYGAGTCATTTCAAGCCTCTTTTCCGGCTTCTTTTTGAAAAGCATTTTCATATCAATATTTCWTGGGGGCCAAATAATGCTGTTTACTTACAGATTTGATTAGGAATTGGTTTGCTGTCTTAGAAGGTAAAAAGTATGGGTATTTATGCGACTTCTTCACTTGCCTAAAAGATTAACTTGGACAGCGAGTGTACATAATTCCAGAGCTTATATAAGCTGCCTACAGTGAGCTAAATCAATATGTGATTTAGATACATGAGTAGCTGTCGAGATCCTATGCATAAAGTGTTTTATTTCGGGTTGTCAGAATAGTTTAATCTCTAAATATTCTGCATATTACGACACGGGTATTTTACTTTCAGCATTTCACTGTGATTTTCGGGCGCTCGAAAGGGAGCAAATAAATCCTGAATGATTTGATTGACCTGCGCTTGCATAAATTCTGGGTTAAAGAGGTGAATTTATGGAAGTGATGTTCCTTCATACATCTTTTCTGAATCTTTTGCATTAATGGAAATGGATTTTCTCTTGTGCCTGCAAAACTATCACTTAAAGCCGTGTAAAGGTGTAAAGTGTGTTGCGTATTTAAGAGGCARGTAAATATCATTGATCTGAAGAGGAATTGCAATTATTTCTTCCTCTGTTGCTGCACGAGTGTTAGCGACCCAAATGCTCCTCTGCAGGCAGATTACTTTTAAGTAGATCTTTGGCAAAAAGTTTTTATTTGGGAACGTGTGTGGAAAAAAGGTGGAAAGACTGGGAGAAATGGGAATAGCTGCCAGCTGGGGAGTCGCTTTCTGCTTGTGATGCTGGTCCTGCTGGTGCTGGAGAGAAATTCAGGCTGAATATTCACCCTTCTGCCAAATGCCACTGCAGACAAATGGGGATCCCAGCCATGCACTGCACAGGGAGGGAGTTGATGCTTGGAGACACGACTGTGAAATTTCAGGCTTTTCTATTCTATATGGTTTAACCTGGGAGCTATGGACATTCTATATAACGATGACGAGCATGTGCTGTGTGGTTGCAATGCCTGCCACAGAGCATTTGACATGTAGGTAGTCAAAAAGGAACCTAAAAAATACATATATAAAATAGTAAATATGCATGTGATTAAGTTACTTYCCAGTTTCCACATCGACACTTTCTGGTCCAATGATAAATTTCAACTCGCAGAGAAGATTCATTTCCTTAATTTTCATCTAATGATGCAGATGAAGAACGTTTCACTTCAGGCATAACCAGCAAATTGAATAGACGTCCTCCACAAAGATGACTCTTTTTTTTTTTCCCTTTTAAATTAAAAGGAGGAAAAATCAAGTTGTCAGTTAGTACCAGAACCTTATTACAAAGGAAATGATGGCAGGATGCATCATGCTGGATTTTTCACCAATTAGTCAGTGCTCTGACATATTTATAAATGAGTCTTTCTTAAATGACTTGGACTAATAGATGKGTTGCATTTGACAGCTGAGAATGTTTTCCACGGCATGCAATGCTTAAGAAAAAAGAAAAAAAAAAAGGTAAACAAATGACTTTGCTAATTAATAAACATGTATCAGGGAGAGTGAGAAATGAACACTGGGTTTAATCTGAAAGAAAAATATTGGTGTGAATTGACCGGGCACCAACCACTCTGCCTGCTCTGGAGCTTTGGACTCTCATCCCCTTGGGGTGTTTTAGGGAGAAGTAGCAGGGGGGTGTTATCGGATGGGGGTGTTACAGGCMCTTATTGCTAAGCATATATACACTGGGAGCGTATACAGACGTAAATGGTGCTTGCTTGTTCTGGACCTATGTTGGCCAGAGAGAAGGATGGATTTCTAAATGATGGGATGTTTCCTATAGCAGCGTTTCATTGAGCACCTTGCTCGGTGCATTTCGGTGTAGGTAGGTTAATTGTGCTAATTGGGTTAATTAATGGCCTCCCACTTCTTGCAAACCACTGGGGTTTCTTTTTTAGCTAGACCTTACCTGGTGCAATGTATCCGACTGTTGAGATTGTCTTTTATTTTATGGGCACAATTCGTGCTTAAAGCCTGTTTCTGGCCATGTCCATACAGATATACATGTCCCTATGTCTGAGATATATAAATCTCTCATTTATGTGCCTCAGGGCACATAATTTTTTTCAGTATATTTTGTASAGGGAGGCTCGTGTCCTCTTCCTGAGCTGAGCAGAACTGAATCGGGCCATTGGGTCGCTGCAATTTTTGCAAGGTTTTCACGATATGGGTATCTCCCTGCAAAGGTTTTAGCAGGAGGGGTGAGAGAACCCGTGCCTTGCAAAGCTGTTGAACAAAAAGTTCCAAATTAATTAAATTAATTCTTTGAAAACTTAAAATATACTTCCTGACGGTTCTGTCCTTTTTGCAGAGAATTAAAATACATATTAAACTTGCTTTTGGGTGTTTGGGTATCCTTATTAAAAAACTGCCTCTTCAGCTAATGTGACCAAGGGGATGGAGCTACCACACGTCTGTGGCTGTTGGGAAGGAAGCTCAGCACGAGGCGCCCTGAGCTGCTGTCAGAGCTTCTCTTTTGCTGCCCAAAATTTAAATCATGATTAGAATTTAAAAAAAAAAAAAATCTAACCAGCCTCTAGACTGTATCCTCCTGGTCCTTGGTTGCAAAATATTTTGAGGCAGCCAAATATTCCTTTGCTGGATATTCCACTTTCCATTTGCTTTCCCAAAAACTGCTCCACCTGCGTCAGGTTTTTTTCCTTATTTCTGATCTCGTCTGAGATTATTTATACTATTTTTCCCTTTTTATGCTTTTTTATTATTATTATTTTCGGTTACATTTCTAATATGGGATTTAGCACAACAAAGGCTGGAGTTGATCGTGGTTACTGCAGCAAGTGTCGTCATTTGAGTAGTGAAAAGCACTTTGAAATAAGGCCGTAGTGCTTGAYGGTGCTTCATATTCATCTTCCTGCYGCTTTTATTAATGCAGAATTGTTTTTATAAATTGTCACAGGAATTTAACTTATTCTCATCTTTTGTTATTCTTTCTTATTATTTTGACATGTCTTTTATTGATGTCTTGTCTGAAAATCTCCCCGAGGTTTTTTTTTTGCATTCGTTTGTTATGAGCGATGAGAAATCAAATTTGATATTTGCCGAGTGGCACCAGTACAGGCTGTATCCATTCAATTGGACATTTTTTAATCTAAATTTTTTTTTCTGCCTTTCCACTCGGTCATCTAAGAAGCCACCCCATCCTTAGGACATTCTCATCAAGGACTCTAGGGCAGTATTCTCCAGAGGGATAAATACTGTATATAACATTTCCATGGATGCTTTCTTCTTTCTATGTGCCTGGCTGTCATTTCTCATTCCCCTTCAAGAAAAAAAAAAAAGAAAAAGGAAGATATTTTGTAGCCTGGTGGTGGGCATGAAAATTCAAAAAGCTCCCGGCTCTGGCTGGGGTGTTTTGCTGTTGTTATTTTCTCCTGAAAAGCATTTGGCAGTTCCAAGAGCAGAGATGATATTGGATGGACCGCGAATAAATGGGACTGACCTCACRTGGACACAAGTGAGTGAGCAAATATGCTCAGGAGGCTGTTTGGTAGAGGGAGAAGGGTCTTAAACTTGGTTTTGTTTTGGGTARAATAACTGCAGTGCTATGTAGCAGCAGAGAGGCTGGGATTTTGGTCTTGGAAGGGAAGAAAGTAGAAATTTTTCTTTCAATCTTTTGGCWTGCATTGCTCCAGACAGGGTGCTGGTTTGGGGTCCCCTGCTTGCACGCTGGGGCTGCCTGCGGTGCATTTACATGGAAGCGAGGCAGGAAAGGCTCTGCTGCCTCTTTGTTAAGATAATTTGGTTTAAATGAAGTTGAAGCATCGCTTTGAGCTGGACTGGGCCTTTGTGGGTTGTCTCAGCCCAAAGTTGGGCACTGCAAGGAGTGCATTTRGCTCCCCCGGGAAGCAGTTCTGCATCGCTCCTAAGCAACGTGCTCCAGGATCTTTCTTTTAGGGGATAAAATTATAGCCGGGTGTCCAGTGTTTGACCTGCCATCACTTCTTTGGGCAGGCGGTAATGTCCTTTATCAGTAACGGAGCTGTTTTTCCTGCGATGGTTGTGGCTTCAGGGACAGATTTAGAAAGCCTGTCACTTTTAATATAATAGGAACCAGCCCCATAAAAATTCAGATTCACTAAAACCTTGGCTTGTATTGCAAACGCCTCCTAAATAATTTTGTGGGCCCCACGGTAAATCTGCAGCGTGGAAGCTCTTCCCTCTCCCTTGGGATACATCCATCCCGCCTGGGCAG